TTGCAGACAAAGGTCACAAAGTGCTTCACAAGGGCAATATACAAAAAGAAAGAAAACATTAGGACAAAGCAACTACGAGAGCCACTTGGGTAGAAGTGCACAACTAGCACACTATTTGCACACAGAAAAAAAAAAGTATAAAGCTGCCAGGAACCAAAAATACAAGAAAAATGATACAAGTAGCTATAAAAACTTGTATTTTTCTTGTGATAATCACCCTAATAATTGAACATTATAAGAGGTATTGTTTCATTTTTTTGTACACACAAAGAACAGCAAAAAAAGAAAAAGTAAATTATATCGCAGTCTATTTTGGGGTTGCAACTAATCATTACTTTCATTGTTGATTAATCAGTCAGTTATTTTTTCAATTAATCAATTTGTTTTTTGGTCTGTAAAATGTCAGAAAATGGTGAAAAATGTCAATCAGTGCTTCCCAAAGCCCAAAATAACACCCTCAAATGTTATGTTTGGTCCGCAACCCAAATATATTAAGTTTACTGTCACAGAGGAGTAAAGAAACCAAAAAATATATTCACATTTGAGATGCTAGAATCAGAGAATTCAGACTGTTTCTCTCTAAAAAAATGACCCAATTCCACTAAGTGATAATCAAATTAATTAGGGATTAATTTAATAGTTGACAACTAATTGATTCATTGTTGCAGCTCCAGTTTATTTACACGAAAAATATGAATAATTTGCAGTTCTGAAATGAATGTCCTTTCAATAAATTGACACAAATGAAACTGTGAAATCTCCACATTATCACTTTCAGCTGTTTCCCTCAGCTTGTCTCCACATGACATATGAATAAAGTTATGTAACTATAATTAAATATTATTCAGTGTGTTCACAGATGAATAGACAAACTCCAGAGGGTGCCAAAAACAACCATTCCCACATGGTTATTTTGTCAATAAATGACTGTCTCACTGTGTTGACATTGTGTTTTAGGATTATGTATACCTCAGTAGAAGATTTTATGCATATTTCCTGTTCATAATACTCACTCTGATGCCCTGCGAGGCAGCACAAGCACCAACTTGACTCTGTTAATTTAATACTTACACTTACAGTTCACCCCTCTTTATCTGTCCCGTGAAAGATGTGGCCCTAACTAACGAGTGCTCCTCGCCGTCTTGTATGAGACACTCACTGAAGTGCTGCCTACATATTGTTAAGGTTACTCTGAGGGTTCAGCTATTAAATCAATGCTGCTCTGTCAGTAACACAAAACAGATTTGGGTCCCCTAATTGACACCACTGGGCTGTTGCATCGCTGAGCCTACAAGGTCCTCAGCACATGATGACGATGATGAATATGCAGCCGGCCGAGTGTGTGTGAGATCAGCAGTCCAGCTGGAGGATGTGTGTGTACAGTACAGTATATGTGTGTGTGCGCAGGGGGGTTGGTGGCTATCCAGATTGCACACAGCTTCAAAGTGCAGTGACTGACAGACAGATGGATGATGGACAGAGTGCGGACAGAAAGCTGTGTGGTCTCTGTGTGGTCTGTGTGCGTGTGTGTGTGGCTGTGTTTGTGTTGCATGAAGTGGAACGGGCAGCAGGGCTTGTGAGTGGCACGAGGCACATGGCCAAGTGATTGAAGTGATAAAGGTAGAGGAGGAGAGCAGAGGAGAGGAGAGGAGCAAGGGACGGGAATAGATCCAGTGATGAACGAGCAGGGAGAGGCAGCAGATGTAATGAAGTGTGTTAGACTGGTGTGTTTCAGCTTTTTACTCTCTTTGATACATTCGGCACTTTGATATGTTTGTTGTGTATCCGCTCTGATGCATCACAGACGTCCCATTATCCCCACTGAAAGCTAAAATGATGGAAAGCTAAACTAACCATGGATGGATTTCTTTTTTATTTATTTCTTTGTCATTGCACGGCTCAGCCATGTGAGGGCACACTCACACTTATGATGTGTTGCATGTGCCGGCTCATTCCCTATGCTGCGTCTCAGCTCTCAAATGGTGGAGGGATACAGTGCTTCTACCCAGGGTGAGAGGCAGAGGAGAGTGAGCCTGGGGAGAGCTGGATCTACGTTCAAACTCTGCAGTTTCAGCTGCTAAGGAAGCAGGTTTGACATAAATATGAAATTGCCCATGAGTGCTCATATTATTCTGAGCTGCCTCTGAGCCTGTGTGCTGCATATGAAGGCAGGGCCCTGTGCAAAAAGACGAGTCCAGGCTTACACAGAGAAATATGATATTTCACAAGGGAAAGGTTAAGAGCGTGCAAGCCTCCTCGTTCACTAGACACAGTGCAGGATTAACACTATAGTGTCTGTGTGTGTGTATGTGTGTGTGTGTGTGTGTGTGTGTGTGTGTGTGTGTGTGAGGGAGGGTAACAGGTGTTAATCAGAGAGGGAGCCCAGGCTGTAGAGGAGAAGGTGTTTTCTGTGGAGGGGCAGCAGAGGAATAAGCAATTACATCATCTTTCCCTCAATACTGTGCCATGCTGTCAGTGCAGGCAGTGTTTATATGTGTGTGTGAATGTGTGTTATGTGTGTTTGAAATGCATTTGCAGGGCAGGAGAGGAAAAGCTGTCAAAGGTGAGATTCTATAATGACAAAAAAACGCGGACGCACTGCGCAAATGGCACCTGAAAGAGCCGTCTGTCTATAACCATGTATTAAATTAAGGTTCCCATTCATTTTGTGTTCCATTAGTTGTCCCATTTTGTTCCATGGCAACCGTAATTGGCCCATGCCGTGCTATCTCTGCTCCGTGTTCCCCGATTAGTGGATCTCCACGTCAGAGTCTTTCTTTCCACATCAGATAAAATGGCAGCGACCTCCTTTTTTTTTCCTCTCCTCTGTTTTCCTGTATCGACGCCAGCTCTCTTCCTGTCCCCCATCGTAAAGAGTTCCCCCACTGTGTCGCACCCGCCCTTTCCACTCTAACTTCTGCCTCACCCTCTCTACCTCCCCTCTCTGTCTCCCCCACTCTCTACGACCTGCTGAACCAGCACACACCGACCTGTCTGTCAAATCAATGGAACAGGTGCTCCAGCTACGACCTCACTTCCCCCACTTTTTCCCCCTCTGCAGCCCTAAGGCACTTGCACACACACACACACACACACACACACACACACACACAAAGACACACACATGTAGAGAGCATGCACATGTAGGAAAACACACTCCCACATGTTCTACCAGGTTGTTTTGGAGGCTTGGGGTGAAACTCGGGAGATTTTGCTCGACTGGCACATACTGTAAGCTACATGCTGACGGACACTGACTTACTGACTTGTGAGTCTCAGCTGTGTCACACACACACACGCACACACACGCACACATGTAGAGAGCATGCACACATAGGAAAACACTCCTACATGTTCCTACTAGTTGCTTTGGAAGCTTGAGGTGAAACTTTCGCTCGCCTGGTACATACTGTTAGTGTACATCCTGACAGATACTGACTTGTGAGTCTCAGCTGTGTCACACACACACAACACACATTCACACTCACATGTAGCAAGCATGCACACATAGGAAAACACTCTCCCACATGTTCTCCCAGCTTGTACTGAAACTCCGGTGATTTGATACATACTGTAAGCTACATGCTAACGGACATTGACCTGTGACACTCAGTTGCGTCTCACACACACACACACACACACACACACACGCACACACACACATAGCGAGCACGCACACATAGGAAAACACTCCCACATGTTGCTTTGGAAGCTTTGAGGTAAAACTAGAGCGGTTTCGCTCGGCTGATACATACTGTAAACGTACACGTTGACGGACGCTGACTTACGTACCTGTGACTCTTAGTTGTGTCACACACTCACACATGTAGAGAGATTACACACATAGGTAAACACAATCATGTTCTCCCATGTTGCTTAAGAAGCTTGAGGTGAAACTAGAGCGATTTTGCTCAACTGGTACATACTGTAAGCTACATGCTGACTTAATGTTACACACACACACACACACACACACACACACACACATGTAGAAAGCATGCACACATAGGAAAACACACTCCCACATGTTCTCCCTACTTGCTTTGGAAGCTTGAGGTAAAACTAGGTCGGTTTTGCTCAGCTGATACATACTGTAAGCTACATGTTGACGGACACTGACCTGTGACTCTGAGTTATGTCACACACACACACACACACACACACACACACATGTAGAGAGCATGCACACATAGGAAAACACTCCTACATGTTCTCCAAGTTGCTTTGGAAGCTTGAGGTGATTTTGCTCGGCTGATACATACTGTAAACGTACATGCTGACAGACACTGACTTGTGACTTTGGGTTGTGTCACACACTCACACACACACTCACACGTGTAGAGAGCAAGCACACACAGGACAGCACTCTCCCACATGTTCTCCCAGGTTGCTTAAGAAGCTTGAGGTGAAACTTGGGCGGTTTCGCTCGGCTGATACAAACTGTAAATGTACATGCTGACAGACACTGACTTACTGACCTGTGACTCTCAGTGGTATCACACACTCACACACGCATAACACACACACACATACACTTGCACGCAAACAGTGCTAAATCACTTTAAGAGGGTGACCCAAAGGTGTCTTGACAGGAGCATATGAGCCTGCAGTCCTGCTGTAGTACATGATTTGATGTGAGTCCAAAACACTCCTGGGCTGCTCTCGCTGCCTTGTAATAAACCGTCTCTTTATCCCGCCTTCACTTTTCTATCCGTCACATCATGTGGCAGTTTGGCTCCTGACGTTAAGGAACTGCACTGACTTCATCTACTTTTTGTCAAAGTCACGTACAAACAAACAGAAAAGTGCTTATTGTCTTTGAATCTGCTGCTCAGTCAATCAGTCAGCAGAGGGGGAGTACATGGCTGCTATAGGGGAGAGGAGAGGAGAGGAGGGGAGGGGAGGGGAGGGAGACGAGGCCATGGAGGGGGAGGGGTAAAGTTTGACGGTCGCTCACAGTTGGCACCAAGGACCCAGGATGCTTTGGGGCGGATGGGGAGAGGGGGCAGAGAGAGCGAGGCAGAGGTAGAGAGGGAGAGCTTCTATCGCAAGGGGACGAAGACACCACTGATCCTTTCACTCTTTGCATTTCACCTTTAGGGAAAAGACAAAAAAGAGAAGTGTGGAAAAGGGACGAAAGGGAAAAAAAGGATATGAAAAGAACATGAAAGAAAGAAATCGTCATTAAACGCACTACGAAGTTCTCTCTTTCCCTCTCTTCCTCCATCTCGCACCTCTCTCAATTTAATCTTAAATCCACTCCAATTTCCCCCAAGGGACTCAATTCTCTCTCTTCCTGTAAGTATTCTCTTTCATTCTCTTGCTTTTATTCTCTCAGTGTTTTCAGTGCCTTCTTGTGCCTCAGTGCCCCACTGTGAAATAACGTCTGTGCCACACAAGAAATCTCAATCAATTGCTTGTTATTTGATTGCATTAATGAGTGAGTAGCCTCCTTTTTTAGGACTTCTTCATATTGTAAATAAGTGAGGTGTGTGTGTGTTTTATGGGATTGGGAGTAGGACGAGCACTGTGGTGATTTAGTATGCATAACCTCAGCTTTTCCACAGCACGTGTGTGTGTGTGGTTGTGTGGTTTTGTGTGTGTGTGTGTGTTTGTCCAAGCTTCCTCTGGGTGTTCCATGGCCGGCCAGTTCGAATCAATATTGTTAATAGGTTGTGTGTGTGCACTAATGCAGCTTATGTAGATTCCCCGCTCTCTCTATTTGAGAGGCAGCTCCACTTCTTTTAGCACATGACAGATTCGAGGTCCTGCTGTCACAGTGCAAAATGTGCGACGCTGTAGGTGTTTGTAAGTTCATGTTTGTCTGTCACGATCAGCGTCCTCTGGCCCTGACGTCCGAGTATCTGCTGGGCGCTTCTGTCTCCTTCGCTCTTCCTCTTCCTCCCCTACTTCCTCTGGCTCCTCGCTCTGTCTCCCTAAAACGCCTCCTTGTCTGTTTAATTCTCTGTGTCGTTAGTTCTGTCTCCGTGGGTGGGCCTCTGTGACTCTCTGTGTGATTATGACAGGCTGTCTATAGGGAGGCCTGCTGTTGCCAGAGCAGTTCGCCGCAGCGTTCAGTCTGCCTGTAGGTCTGAGAGGCTTTGCGTCTCTATTTCCCCCTCCATCTATCTCCGCCGTGCTTTGTGTGCCTCTATCAATATCAGTTTGTGTCTATCAGTGGATTAACAAGCATCTGTCTCTCTCACTCCCCTGCTTCCTCTGCTCCCCTGCAACAGCGAGAGACAGACGGAGAGGGGGTCCATTCCTCCTGGTAGAGTGACACCAGGAATTTCCTCTCTCTCCCTCTACTCCCCCCCCCCCCCCCCCCCCCCCCCCCCCCCCCACACACACACACACACACCTCCAGACCCCCCCTCTCCACCATGACACTACTGGCCTCCGAGAGGTCGCTTCTCATCCGGAACAAGTTCCGCTCAGGTGAGGAATCCTGGAGTCTCAGCTCACGCTAATTAAAGCAGAGAAAGATTTATTTCCCCCACAACAATTGGCAACATTAGCATGAATATGCAGAGGTGAAGTGTTCACCAGCTGTCTATCACATGATCAATAGAGTGGAGGTATTGATTGATGGTGAATGGATTTAGTGATGGATACACACAGACAGAGATGTCTTGAACAGAGGTGAAAGACAGCTGAGCCCGGGGCTAAAGATCTCTGCATGTTACCAAGTGACACTTTAACCACCACATGGTTTGTATGATGACTCATATGGAAACACAGATGGGCTTTTACCAGGATAAAGGGCTGCACAATAATTTATTTATTGTTTTTTTTTTTTTTTTTTAATTTTCTAAACGAAAAAATAATAATTAGAAAGATAATGATTTTAGATTTTAATTTTAAAAAATTGTCATCGTGAAGCCAACTTGTGCAATGTTGCACGGGCATTTTTTTGAGTTAGTATCAGTGGAAAACTGCACTTAAAAATGTAGCTATCATTCTTTTTTTTTCTTTTTTTTAATTGGTGCCAGTTATGTTCAGTTCAATCCTCAGTTTCAATGTGACACTTGTTGATTCACATGGAAATACAGACGGGCCTTTAAGATAAATGTTATTATTATTTAAATTTTCTACCAAAAAAAAAAAAAAAGTAAAAAAAAAAAAGAAAAGATTTAAAAAACTTTTTTAAATGAAAAAAAATTGATTTTAATAAATAAAAAAAATATTGTTATTGTGAAGTCAACTTGTGCAATACGGCACATGCATTTTTTTAATGACTTCAAAGAGAGTATCAGTAGAAAAATGTAGCAGTCATTCTTTTTTTTTAAATGGTGCCTGTTCAGTCTTTGATTTGTTCAATAGAAGAATGTTGGAAATAATTTCCTTTCATTTAGAAATTTAAACTAGCAATAAAGTGCTGCAGGAATGAGTCCTAAAACATGGAAATTAGTTAGCATTTTATCACTTCTGGCTTCCTTGTCTTGAAGTCAGTGGGTTTTGGTTACACACCTGAATAAGGTCTGTGCTTGATACAAGGTTAAGAGATTTTCACTTTTTGTTCTACAGTATGAAATATGTCAGTAAACACCCCACTCAAGAGTTTTTAAGCTTTAAATGTCCTTAAAAAGATGTTTGCTAACTGTTGCTAATGCAATTGTAATGTAGTTTGTGTAGCCTAACGTTAGCTTTTTACTTCTGGTGATTGCCTTTACGGAGATGTGATAATCCAAAATCCAAAGGAAAAATCCCACTGGCTTTTTGTCGAGGGAATCAGGGTGACGCTAAGTTCCAGGATGGTCTACAACAAAACGACATCTCTCCATTTGTTGTATCTTAGCAGTATGAAAGCAGCAGAACTGAGTCAAATGATTGTATTATTTATCACAAGTAATATCGTGATCACGATAAACAACATACTGTATTTTCCTCATTTCATGCAGCCCTACCAGCCCCTTTAAGTCCCTACAACATTAAATATTAATGTCTAAATAAGCAACAATCCATGTTAAAATTTGGGAAAAAAGATCCTGAGTTATTGATGATGATATCCTGTCACAGTCTACAAATATTCTTTAGATTCTGAGGGCAAAAGTAATCAAGGAATAGCTGAAAGCTCTAAAGAGTTTTAATAGTCCAACGCATTACTCTGCTTGTTCCAACTTTCAGGACACAACCTGCATTCTGTGACAAATGGCACCGAACAACCCTCCTTTAACTGCATAATTCAAGTCTCCCCACAAGTTGTAGCGGCTGCTGTTGTGTTCCCAGCAGCTGTCGTTAACGGCTGGTAAAATAGAGAGGCGGGGAAATGACATAGACGCAGTCCCCTAGGTGTACAAACACCTGCTGGAAAACGTGATTCCTTGGGGCAGCTGCTCTGTTTGACATCATGTATGTACATAGCTGAGTCTGCGCCAGTCTATAAGGTCTGCAGGTTTGTTTAACTGATCCTTTGTGGAAGTTGTCAGCCATAGTATGATGTGAGTTTGTTGAAGTTCTTATACATTGTTTAATTCCTAACAATTTTGTTATTGTTGAGCTTTGACACAAACTGTTTCCCATGCAAAGTGTTCACAAATGCAGGCATATGCTACATGTCAAGGTCAACGTTAAGAAAATGTGAATCCTAATGATTAAATAATAGTTCCTTACTTCCTTTCTTGCAGCCCCTCATCACGTCTCTGAGCTGCGAGACGTTCAACCAAAACAAACCTCTAAAATAGTTAATTTGAATGATTTTAAGAACCTAAGGAGGCGAAGATAGTCAGTGTTTTACCAATAAATTCCAAAACATTAAAAATGAAAAAGTCAGAAAACAATTAACAAAATTCTTAGAAATCTGTTTATTTTGTCTTAGCTGCTAATCCTTTAACGAGGGTTGACCCCCAGGTTGGAAACTACTGTGTAATCTAATGTAATATATGTTAAGTAGTGGGATTAAGACTTGTACTGGGCCTCCAGTTAAAATACAAAACAATCCAATGGTAGACACACACGCTGAAATCAAACAGAGCAGTGTGATAAGCACTGCTTCCCTAACTTGTTAAGACGACGGAGCACGGCGTGCTAATCTGCTTTAAATCCAGATTTTTGCAACGTTAAACTTTTGTTTTGAGTCGTCAGAGAGGCAGGAAGAGTATAGTTAGCAGCACAAATGAGGATGACGTTAGGAAGAGGGGATGTATGAGAGGCTTGTGGAGAGAGCGGGACAGCTGAAGGGGGGATGGGACCAACAGAAATAGACACACTGAGAGATAAATAGTCACTGCCCTCAACCCCCCCTGCCTGCACAGTCCTCCCTCCCCTCGCCAGGTCTCTCAGGTCTCAAAACTCACCGAAATGTATCATGCCCTACCCTGCTTCACCTGTTTGTGTGCGTACTGAATGCTAATGTGCATATGCGAGGTGTGTAGATGTGTGCCGGCATGCAGGGAGATATTTAATCTACAAGCGGTGCAAAGTCATGGGGTAATATAAGTTACAAGGCCATATCGTTTGACAGTGATCATGCTTACATTGCTCAACTCTTACCTTTCTATGTGTCATTTATTTCTCCGGATCGTTTGTCGTTCAGATCAAACAAACTTACTGTTCCAGCCGGCTCAGTCTCTGCTCTTGTCTTTCAGTCCTGCAGCTGAGGATTCAGAACCGAAGGCAGAGTGAAATCAATGCAGACTCTGGTTAGTCTCTGTGTATCATTTACATTGTGATTGATCCCTGTACACTGTGACTGCAGGTTGGATTTCATATTAATGGACTTCAGGTCACCTGTTTTCACAGACACATGATTGCTTATTGATTCATAAAAATGTCTTGGGAGGTTTTACTGCACTGACCAGCTTTTACTTTCCTTTGGAGTCTAATTTTAAAAAAGGTTAAAGGGTGAGTTCACCCCAAAATACATATATTTCCTCTTACCTGTTGTGCTATTTATCAGTCCTGATTGTTTTGGTGTGAGTTGCAGAGTGTTGGGGATATCAACCAAACAGATGTCTGCCTTCCTTCCAATATCATGGAACTAGATGGCACTCAGCTTGTGGTGCTCAAAGGGCCAAAAAACACTTTTGAAAAACGCAACAGCAATGTCTCTTTGTAGAAATTACAACCCAGTTACTCAAGATAATTCACAGACCTTGTTGTGAGCAGTTTCATGTAGGAACTATTTTCTTTCTACACCTGCCAACCGTATTACTGCGCAGGAGGAAATGTGCATCTACTGTTAGCTCACCTAGCACCACTGAGCTAGCTAACGTTATAGCTTAGCCAGCTGTGGAGGACGCCATTAATGTTTACATCTCATCATTGTCCATGAGTAGATGAGTAGACGCTTCCTTCTGCACAGTGATATGGCTGGCGGGTGTAGTTCAGTAGAGAGAAAGTAGTTCCTACATGAAACTGCTCACAACAAGGTCTGTGGATTATCTTGAGTAACCGGGTCATGATTTCTGGAAAGAGACATTGCTGTTGAGTTTTTTCAAATGTATTTCTTTGAGCACCACAAACCAAGTGCCATCTACTTTCATTATATGGGAGGGAAGGCAGACATCTCCAAGGCTCATATCTCCAACGTTCAGCCACTCAGATCAAAACAATCTAGATTGATAAATAGCACTACAGGTAAGAGGAAAAATATGTATGTTTGATTTTGCAGTGAACTTTACCTTTAATGTTGTTATTCTATACTGCAAATCTAGTTGGATACTTCCAGCATTATTAAACAATATTTGTAACAGTGATAAAATATCAGGGTGCAAAATGTTTATTATGTTTCAGAGGTAGCAATAAGGATCATCACCACAAATATACATAATATACAAGATGTGCATTGGATACAGATACATAAGTCTGCATAGTACAAGTACACATAGCAGGTATCAGAGGTAACATATGCAACAACAACAATATGCTCTACACATCAGGCATTAATACACAAATTCATCCAGATCTGTGCAGTGACGATGATACAGACTAGTCTAGGGTGTAGACATAAAAAAAAGAAACAATCTCAGGGACTTTGTAGACAGGCTGTGCACCTTGCTTCAGTTCCCTCCTCGTTGTCTGAGGCTGAAGCAGGTTGCACAAGAAGCACTGATGCCTGCCAACACAAGAGAGTGCCTCAGATGCTCCGTGCTGCTGTAACTTGGAGGGATGAGCTGAAGGCTGAAAGTGCTTTGTTGATGCACTGGTTCACCTGAGTTGCTGCTCCACTATGCGAGCATTCTGCTGCATTGTCATTTCGTCATATAACTGCATCTCTTCTGTTTCCGCAGGGTTGAAATCTACTTGTCCCCCTCAGAAAGCAGAGAAAGACCAGAGTGAAGCTCTGGTGAGTAGCATCCAGTGTCTCAGTTACATCCAACAGCATCACATAGATCAAATACTGATGCTGATGTCATGTTCATTCATTTAGATGTGTTTGTATAGTTGATTATATTAGAATAAGACCACATTTCTGTTTACCTGTATTGTGAGAAATGATAGCATAGGTCAGTGTTTCCACCACCTAAAAATAATTTGTGCTGGTTTCAGTGGTGAATCTTTGCAGCACAGGATCCCTGCATATGTTTTGGGGGATACACTGGTGTAAATGACTATTTAATGAAGCTGTATGAACTGCACTGTAATCTGTGGGCCCTGTCTGTTGGTGTGACCTGCTGTTTCCTCATGCAGCGTCTAACTGAAGATGGCGCCGCTCAGAAGTTGCCCCCTAGTGGTCTGAACACTGAAACTGCACAAGGTGAAGTCCTGCCTTCAGTAATGTTGATGTCTCCTTCCTGCTTTACCCTGTGTGCTCCCAGCAAAGCAAAGTGCATCCTTACATATTTCCCTACCTCTCTCTGTCTTTCTGTCTGTATTTTATCACGTCTGTGCTGCTCTCCCGCTCCCTGTCGTACAGTGCAAGGAAACGCAGTGTGTAAATCTCGCAATGGGCTTGCCGTTTCATCAGCTGTCAGTTAAATAGATATGTGACCTTGTTGCACACTGTAACTCTGCATTTAAAGCAGCTTGCAAACATATCAGTGATTGACAGCGCATGATAAACCCACCCATCCAGCGATCAGAGCCATCGTTCACTGACATCTCTGTCTTTTTATCTCTCTCTCTCCCCTCCTCCTCTCCGCAGCCTCTAACCTTCCTTTTAATTTGAAAAGACTATTATTATTATATCAGGCTTTTCAAATTATCTGATTTCCCTTTCTGCCCTTTTAAAAACGTTGTGTGAATGTGTTTATGAGTGCGCTCATATCCAGGGGAATACATCTCCCTATGGACAGGAGTGTTTACAATTTCTTATGCCTCTGCTGGTTTGAATTGGGACTGACTGCCTGTGGCAACGCTGTTGTGCATGCTCACATCACATATGTTCTGAAATCCTGTTGCTTCTCCTCTCTCCATTCTCCACTCCTCCTCTCTCTGCTGATCTCCCATCTGTGGCTCATCTCTCCACTTATCTGCACCATTCCTCCCTCCTTCTCCCACCTGCAGAGAGGACTGTGTGTGGGGCCCAGAGGCAGAAGAAGGCTCGCCATGCTCAGGACCTCTCTGAGAGGATCAAACGTCCGCCTGGGTCTGTGGAGCAACAGCATGAACACACACTGCCCCTGGAGAACCGTGAGTCAACACGCATCCGCATGCACCGACACACACAGGCAGAGTCACACTCTCTCCTCTCCTCCTCCTTTGACCTCCTTTCACTTTTCACTTCCTCAGGCCCTGCCTCTTTCCCTCTGTCCGCTGATGTCTTCGAAGATGACATCCCCTCCTGCGCCTCCTCCTCGCCCACTGAGCAACATGGCCTTCACCAATCACCCACCTTTTCTACACTGCCAGGGCTCTCAGGTGACCAACTGCTGAGTGACTTCTCAGGTGTGGCCCCGCCTCTTAACCACAGCGCCGGTCACGCTCAGGTGCGGAAACAACACTGAGATTTAGTTCTGAATAAGATTCATGTCTTTTGGCAGCAACAAGGAAGTCTGATGAATTATTTCCCACCAATAACCTCTAAAAAACATTAAAGTGAATATTAACAGACTGATGAGTTTATAAATAGCCTCATATGTCAGCTCTGATAATCTGATATTCTGTCTTCAGTCTGGTTTGGCGTTGCTCCCGGCAACCGAGGGCATCAGACAACCTATGAGTGTAACACTGAGTGAATCAAACACCATGGCAACAACTGGGAGACCAAGTGGGCTGTATCTGACGTCTCAGACCACACCCCTGCTGCCAAAGGTAATGTGGGGTTAGCCCCTATCACTTTTGCTTTAGTTTATTTAAATTTCACAAGGGTCTCCTTCTTTTAAAATATTTTCATAACATTTCATTACACATACATGTTGTAATATGACATTTTCATCCAGATAAACATTTAGATTGTGTATGTGTGTGTGTATTGTGGAGACAGGTATTCACGGCAGGTATACAGCATAAAAGATAAAAGAGCATTGCAGAGGTCTTCAACCTAACAGGATGGTCACTCGTCTGTTTTGTCAAACACAATGCTCCGCTGTAAGCTGCTCTGCATTCATTACTGTCAATTTGCACTTCTGGGGGAGCTCAGTATTTGCCCTGTAGGTTAACACATTCACATATGAGCAGCATGGCTGTGTGTCAGAACCAGCACATGCTGTCATTTGGAGATTTGTGAGGCATTTGTACAGTTTAACCTTGACATGGGACAAAGACTGTCAAACTACGTGAAATGACTTGACATTTTTTCTGTGATATTTGAGATGCTACTTGAGAAATTACTCGATACAGCCACAGCACAGTTACAGTTGAGGGTAATGTGTCTTTACAGACAGCTCGGCCTCCCAGCCCCACCTGCACCTCCTCCCTGGCCCCCTCCCTCAACTTCAACCATCTCCCCCGCCCACGGAAACCGCGGGACACCAAACCCAAAATGAGGAAACTCAAATATCACCAGTACATTCCTCCAGACCAGAGAGGAGGGTCTGGGACTGGAGGTAGCAATACTTTACTTTCCTACGTTGCTTCACAATCCCTTAATGTGTCTGATCCTAAACAATTATTTATGTCCAGGAGGAGCCAAACAGAAGAACCCTCCTTCTACCCAGTCTTTAGACCCAGCCTACTCCCATCTCCTGAAGCAGCAGCAGGTCATCCTCCAGCTGCAAATCCTACAGAACCAGCAGCAGCAACAACAGCAGCAACAGCTACAACCACAGCAACAGCTCACTGTGGAGCCCAGGTATCCAAACAGATCAGTGCTGATACAGTGTCAGATTGAGCGAACGAGGAAGATCTCTGCTTTATCAATGAGATGTTACACTGGAAACACACTGAGCTATGGCCGTTTGATTCTGCAGAGAAGTGCAGCCACACTAAAAAGTCGGGATAGTTTAACTTTCAGTGGCAAATTGCGGCTTCAGAATACTGCAGCCAGTCAGTGAACAGAGTCCCGTGACCACTGTGACATGATGACCTTCATTGCAAAGAGTTTCTCCCCACCTGAAATACATGAACATGCCTCCCTGTAATTGTTGTGGCGGGCTGCACTTAGCTGCTGCTTGGTGTGTTTTCTGTGTTTGTCCTTAAATAGTTTGGGTGAGTTAATGCTTCTTTTATTCCTTCAGTGAAGATCACAATGGTCTTGTGAAGTCCTCTGGAGCCCTGCCCCTGAATCCCCAACCTGTTCCCGCCACAACAAACCACACCCCTACAGACACAAACCCTACATCCAAGCCTGAGCTTCTCCCTGCAAATCTCGTTGATCTAACAGTAAGAATTGCATGGAAGCACTGAGAGACTAATGGCTGTATTTACAATTCACTGTGATGACAAACTCTTAAGTGTCCTTTGCCCCTTCACCGTTGTATCTTCAGGTGTCAGAGTTGCGGCAGCAGCTGCGTAAGCGCGGCCTCCCCGTCTCCGGCACCAAGCCTGCTCTGTTGCAGCGTCTCCGACCCTTCCAGCTTCCCCATGCTTGCCTCACCCCTGCTCCTCTGTGCCAGCTGGGTACCAGCCTGGGGCCCCTCACCTCCTGTCCCCCACTGCCACCGAGCCAGAGCCCCAGCTCAAGCTCCAGCTCTGGACACGACTCCCCCGGCAGTAGTCCGAACCAACAGATGTACATCGCGGACAGCAGAGTTCCTAATGGGATTCTCAGTGACGCCCAAAATGGAATTCTGAACAACGTGCCGAACGGTTTCTCAAATGCTGTGTCAGTCAGTTTGGCAGGCGAACAGTGTCTTTCCAACACCGTCTTCCTGGCTCCTGCCAGCACTGCCTCAGGAACTCCAAGTCCCAGTCTACCCATGTCGTCCTCCTCGCCCCTGCAGTGTGGGACTCCCTGGAGAACTGAGAGCGAGCAGCAGCAACAACAGCAGCAGGAGCTGAGTGTGGAGCTGGAGATGAGGGAGAGGTTACGGAGCAGGCCCAGGGACCGCTCCACTAACACAGGCAACGAGGTGAGCAAACACAGGCTTGGATCTTTGGTCTATGATGAGTTGGAGAATAACAGGATGATGCTTTCCAGAATTATTAACGTCTTTTTTAAATTATTCCTCCAGTCTTGTGGAGGATCCCTTCATCCGTTCCTGCAACAGGATCCTGGATGCTCCAGAGGGAAGCCAGACACAGACACACAGGCAGAGGTGTTGTTTACACAGGTAAACATGACCAATTAACACATACATATCTTGGATAATTGCTTTTCAAGGGCATGCTACACAGCCCTCAATCTAGAAAACTGGTCAAACGTGGGCACACTCTCATCACCCACCTGTCAACTCATTTACCCCTGCTTGCTAATCAGGTGTTTTGCTGCCAACCGTGTGACGTGATTGGCCAGGATTTTGAGCTGCCAGTGCAGATTACAGCAAGTCCAGCTCAGACCTTGCCTGGCATTCGTAGCTTGGAGGAAGAACTACAGGAGGCGATTCAGAAAGCACAGGTTAGAGTCTGTAGATGAACAGGTAAAGACCACCAAGAGTTTGTTTTGCACAGGATTTAAGCGTTTCTTTTGGCCACAGATGGACCCTCGGCAGTCCATAGATGACATTCTGGATGAGCCTGTGACTTGTGTTGGTAAGTATCCCATAATTCATAAAGAATACAACTTAAGTGACACTTGTATTTCTTTCAGTGTCTTATCCTTTTTACTACCTCGTTTCCAGGCTCTGTCAGTGTCTGTGATCATAAATCCCCTGCCCAATCAGTCCCTGTCCCTTCGTCGCCTCCCCCTCCTCCTCAAGCTGATCAGTCCCAGGCCTCCCAGCAGCAAAAGGACGACAGCTTCCTGCCCTCACCTCTTTGCTCCTCTCTTTTGCTTGAGCTCCCTCCATCTCCCGCTGTAATAAACCCCAGCCAGGTGATCCCAGCTCCTCCCCCACCCCCGATCTGTACCTCCCCTCTGCCATCCAATGGGAAGTCACGAAAACGGCGGGCTCCGTCATCGTTTGATGCTGCCGACTGGCTTGAAACGCTCACATCTGGCCTCCGCCCTCTTACTCCGCCAACTGCTCCTTTTGTTGAATCTGACTTCAGCCTGGATTCAGATCTGAATGTCAGTCGGGTGTTGGATCTAATGATAGAGCAGTGGTGAGGATTTGTGTGCGTGTATCAGTTTGTATGTACAGTAGGAGAGCGCTTTATGTTTCTGATGGTAATGAATGGGGCTAACATGCATCCCACCAAGGGCACAAGATTGTGAATAGCGGCCTCCATCCCTCCATCTGTCCATCCATCATTGAAAGGCTGTCAGAGTCACTGGCTCCACGCAATGTCGAGAGCTGGATTCATTGCAGCGAACAGATTAAACATGGCTTTGATGGGGCAACGAGAGCACAAACACATGCACACACATAGACACTGCAGAGTGCTGTTTAAAAACACTTGGGCTCGGCCAGAAATGGCAAACAAGCAACACATCTGTGGACTGACACACTCCACAGCACAATGTTTGCAGTGCAAAACAAAAGAAAACCTGGTGGCATATTAATTTAAACATGCTTCCTGGCTGTGCTGGGAGAATGTTGTTTCTGACTTATCTCCAAAACCCGTTGTCGGATTGGGTTGAGTGTGGCCCCTGGTGTTGACTCAGTCATTGAGTCCTAGCCATTCATAAAGCCCATTTAGAGTGTGTAAAAGCCAGACAGAGCACGCAGCTTGTGTGTGGCTCCAGACCTTAACCCCGGTGCCAGACACACAGTCGGCATGCAGAGGGAGAAAGCTGGCAGAAGCTGCAAACAAGCAGTGTGTGTGCGTGCAAGTGTGTGCAGAAAGCTTGTGCGTGAAGTATGTGTGCGTTCAATATGTCCGACTGTGTGTGACTGAGCACACAAGGCTGCTTCTGTTTGTATGTGTCAACACCCAACTGCTTCCATGTATATTTAATAGCATTAAAGCCAAATGCACTTGTAGTTATTTGTTTGCTTACAATTAAGTGTCCCTCTGTGTGTGTGTGTGTGTGTGGGGTATGATTGAACTGTGTGAGGATACATGTGAAAGACGCAGAAAAAGAAATAGCTGTGGATTTCTGTGTCCACATTTTAAGACCAGACATTTCACTGTAGGCTCATTGCCAGCGGGCAGTAACTCCAGTGTAGTTATCCAGTGTAATCATCAGAACAGCCACATTACCTTGTTCAAGTCAGCATTCTCCAGGAGAGCAATCAGGCAGCCACCCCAAAAATAATCCCCATACAAATGCTCCAATCAGACAACTGAGAGTTTCCTCATCGCTTTGCAAAAACAGGTGGTCATTTTGTTCCCTGATTAACCCCCAACAGCGTCTGGCCCACTGCACGGTGCTTACCCTGCTACTTGCAAAGCCAGATTTAGCACAATTTACAGCCCTACCCCAAGGCCACACCTGTTCACTTAGTGTAAATGAGTTCCACACATGTATTATTTGACATTGTTAAATCTTTGCTGTACATTTTAAAAATACAAAACGACCATTAATGTTGAAGGAACAGTCTGTAGGATTCATAGAATTTATTGGCATCTAGCAGCCAGGATTGCAAAACTGCAACCAGCTGAAACTCTCGCGTGAACTCTCACTACATATTGCTTCAGTGTTCATTGTTCAGGAGATTTCTAGCTTAATTAACAGCAGAGGTCTCTTCCTCTTTAAAATAAACGGACCAGGTGATTTAAACTGGTAAAAACAGCAAATAAAGCCAGTTCTTGTTTAAAAGGTTAGTGCTTTTCCATTGCTGCTCTTTGCAGAATGGCTGCTAACTGTGGTGGCTGATGCAAAAAACACATTTGGCCCCATCTAGTGTTTGGTTTGTCTGTTCTAGGCTACTGTAGAGACATTGCGGTGAAACATGGCAGTCCCTGTAGACAAGAGTAGGTATAGCTGCAGCTGGAGCAGCTACGTGAGCTGCCCTCTAGCTACATGACTCGCCCACCATACCTACACGTCAGTCCATTAACCTCCTTTGCTCCTTGGCACAGAAACAAAGGTCCTTGTGAAACTGCTAAGGTGGGGATTAGCTAGCTGTGAAGTATTACGTTAAAAGAGAGCTGGGTAACATTAGTGTAAGGGGAATGGGAAGGCTACATCTCCTTACCTATGCTAATGCTACCTAAGCGATTAGCTAACATTAGCTATGAAGTATTCTGTTAAAAGAGAGGAAGTAAAGAGTAGGATACAGGTAATGGAAAGGGCTACATCTCATTACCTATGCTAGTGCTACTAAAGCAATTGGCTAATGTTAGCTATGAAGTATTGCACTAAAAAAGAGGTGGGTGGGTAACATTAGGCTAAGGGTAATGGGAAGGCTACATCTTGTTACTCATGCTAATGCTACCTAAGCAATTAGCTAACATTAGCTATTAAGTTAAAAGAGAGGAGGCTAAGGGTAGGATATGGGTTACATCTCTTTACTTATAAAGTAAATCACCTTTTCATGTATTATGAATTAAAAAGTAGATTATTGTTACATTTGGTCTCATTTATTTGCTACAGTGTAGCACTGTAGCATGGTTCAAATAGCCGTTGCGTTGGTAGGTTTGTCTTTTACTAGTGGTAGGTGTGGTATGTAGGGGCGTGTTGTGTAGCTACAAACAGAATGTGTCAGCTATACATGTCTCAAACAAGGACCTGCTCCCTATTTAGATATTAACCGCTCATTCTAAGGCAACAAAAACACATTATACACTAAAGAAACCATGCTTATTATGTTGTTTTCCATGTCTGCCAATATATCCCCCTCAATCCTACACACTGGACCTTCAAGAGAACATGCACTGTAGAATTAGCATATAATAATATGTTTGGAGAATTATGTAACATGACCAGAGGTGAGCTTGTCAGCTGAAGCTGATACAGTAAACTGCTGCACATTTTCTTGACATTGACAGAGCTCTTGTTTTTATATTCTACATGATTTGCCGGTCATGCAGAAATGGGCACATTATTTGTTTGCATAATACACTTTTAGTGAGTTATGTCGGTTCTCAACCCCACTTAACATAATGACATTAATGAAAAAAAATCTGACAGAGGTTGTGTGCCATTAACCTCTGCTGTATCTGATAAATGTAATTAAGATACAAGATCTCATCTACATGAAGTTATATCGTGCCCTTAATTGGCTGCATGTCCCATCAATCACTTTGAAGAGCTCTGATTGGCTCATTTATATCTGGATCATTTTTATAATGTGATTACCAACTGGACGTCCTGTAAGACCACTTTATTTTTTTGGGGGAAAAACTGTTTTGTCTCCTTCTCATTCTTCTAAGTATTATGTTGAAATAAAGGTTAAGTGCTGAGTGCAATATGATTTGTGTAAAGGGCACATAAAGTGGCAGATCTGAGGTCATTATGTCATGTTTTTTGTATGCAAATGTTTCAGTGTTGCTGCCAGCCAGTTCCTTGTTCTGATGATAAACCGGTGTCTTACTAAGCAAGACAGCCTTGGTGAATTATTAGAAGAAGGTATCTGTGCGTAGGCAAACCTTCAACACTCAGCCTTTATGTTGAAGCAATTCTTGTACAGCTTTCACTACAGAGACTATGAAAAATGCAGTTAAATGTGGATGGATGGCTATGATAATCATAGCATTCAATAAACATTGCCTGCTGCATAAATTAAAAAAAAAAAGAAAAGAAAATTGATTGGCAGGAGAGTAAGATGCTACCTCCTGTGACTTCCATTGCTTTAGGGCCGACACCAGTGTTTTCCTTGTTTCTTATTTAATTTCCGAACACTGGTGCAGAGTTTCCTGGAACACCCCTGAGACAGTTTCACAGGCTTGGCTGGACCCCAGGTTAAATACTTCTGTTTTAAACTGGGTCTGAGACGTCCTGATCTAGATTTGAAGTTGGTCAGGACAGACGCCAGCTGGAAACACGCAGGTGTTTCAGGTAAACGAGACTCTGTTGGCCACTTTTGCTGCTATAAATGCCTTATTGTGAAAATGTTAGAGAAATTAAACTGTGTTTGCTTTTATTTATTATGTAACTTATTCATGCAAAAGATATCAACCACTGTCCAAAAATGTATTTAAAACATTATAAAAATTAAAGTCTTAATAGATTTTCTATTTGGTTCCTCTTTTTTTTATTGCTGTAATATGGCACGTTGAAAGGATTAACAAGTGGATTGCTTCATAAAGAAAGAACCACTGATAACTGATATATTTCACAAGAAACTGTCCCAAATGATGCCTTATCAAATATTGATGATCATAAAGTAAAATTAAATATTCATTTGCACCAATATGCTGCTTAAATATCCATGAAGCCGTACTAACATCCACATGGCTTGAAGGTCAATCTTCATAATGACACAGCATTGTAATGTGGAGAGAACTATGATGTAGCTGTAAATAAGAAAGCTGGATAAATGAACACAGTGATCATCATAAGGCAAAGGACCATTCAATTTAACAAAAAGGAAATTTTATTTTTCCCTGCATACCTCATAACTTACACTACATCAATATTTAATATCATATTACTATTAGGCCCATATTATTCTTGTATTTTCATATGATGTCAAATTTTATTATGTATCTGAATGAGGTGAACCATGAAGGGTGTCCAGAGTCTAGGTCATAAAAATTACATTTGGGAAATAAAAGGTGATTCAACTGAGTTTAGGTGTGTCACTCCAATTCATGAGAACACCCACAGAAACTCAAATGTAGCCTCCTCCTCTTTAATAGGCCTGTTAGAAAGGCCACATAGGCCTTTATTTGTAACTGAACAAGAGTCTACAGCAGTAGATTTTAACTGGTCTAGCCACGGGATCCAGATTTGTCCTTAGTCATTGGTTCAAGGTCCACACAGTTAAAAATATACAGCATCATACTTGAGTTTGTCCATGTTGTCGAGCTGGTTTACTGTCTCTGTCAAGTAGCCGTCCATTATTCACTCTACAGCAGGAAATGTCACTTCAAAATACAAACCCTATGCCGGAAACTCACTGTACTTAAAAATAAACTGTGGTTTTTGTGAGTCAGAATGGACCCGCAACCCACCATTTGGGGACCACTGGTCTACAGCCATGCTAGCTTGAGCTAAATGCTAATGTCTGCATGCTAACCTAACATGCTCACAACAGTAGACATACAGAAGCCTATATACTGCTCACAATGAAATGCTAATATGCTAAGCTTGTGTAATGTTCGCCATTTTTGTTTAGCGTGTTAGCATGCTAACATTTACTAATTAGCATGAAACACAAAATACAGCTGAGGCTGATGGGAATGATATCAATTTTGCAAGTATTTGGTCATAGAATAAAGATTTTTTTTTAAAGTTCTTTATTAAACGATCGAATGCCAGGGAACATGCATATACGGAGTCTTCTGACTTTGTATAAGCATATACAATGCCAAGAGACAATATTCTTTGACAGTGTTGGGGTCAACGCATTACAAAAGTAACATGTTACAGTAATATATTACTACAACTACTACTTACTTTAGCAGTAACAAAGTAATATAACGCGTTACCAACAGGATTTCGGGTATCATTATTACATTCACAGTGTAACATAATGTGTTACCATCCAAAATAAACTGTTTATTGTTTCCATTTTTCATTCATCCACAACAACACTCCACTTCTGCCAGTGCGCCGCCAGAAAAAACATCCCCCCAAAGGTTGTTGTGTGTTGACATGTCCGTACAGATGGGTGCCAGTGATCAGCACATCCGGGTCATGCCGTGCTCCACATTATCAAGTTCGGTGTGTTTCTATCAATAATGACGTACAGCGTATCCCACTCTGCTTTTGCGTTCTAAGGCTGCCTGCAGCAGGGGTAAGGAGCTGGCGTCCGGTTTGTTTTTTCCTCGTCCTGGTGATCGACACATCTGTGTGATGTTAGTGTATGTTGGCTATGCTTCCATTCGCATCTCCTACAACTGCAGAGCAAGGCCAGCACAGAGTCCCATTCTTGTACATAACTCTCTCTCTGGTGCTGCTGTAGCTGACCGGCAAGGGAACCTCCAGGTGGTTCTTAATTTGGGCTCAACATAGTGATTTACTTGCACGCAA